CCTTGGAAAGCTTCTGCTTAGCCAAGGTTCATAGTTTGGAGTGCCTTTTAAGTGGGCTGAGGAGACATTTGGGGTCCTAAGCCTAAGGGATCTGAGAAATTAGCAGAGGCCTTCAGTCTACATCTTGTATAGCTGTATCAGCATTGTGATTAACATCTCACACCTCAGAAGATCACCTGTTGCCCAGACAATATTCAGCAAGATATACTGTTTTGGTTTTTTGGTTTTGGGGTTTTTGTTTTTGGGGGGAGGTTTTTTGCTTAATTTCAACATTTTTCCTCTAGATTTTTCTTTTTTCCTTTCCTTTCCTTTTTTCTTTCTTCACTTTTTTAGTTTAAATACAATTTTCCATTTTTGCCTTCTTTAACAATTAGAACTTCATTTTTCCTAGTGTTTCTGCCCCTATTATTTGTTTTTTTCCTCCAATTTTATCTCATAAGGGTTTTTGTTTGTTTTGGTTTGATTTATAGTATTTTTGTCTTTCTTCTCTACCTGGTGGAGGTGGGGTACCATGTCTGATCAGGCTGGCAAAGAGCTGCTGACCTCAAGGGAACCACCCAACCCAGCATCCCCAGAGGTTAGGGGTTTTTAAGATTGGGTCAAAGTACCCTGCTATACACCTATATTACTCCCGTCTCCTCCTTTCGGTGCTTCTCTTCTTTTTGTCAATATTTCCTTTTACTCACCCCCTCTCCTTTCTCTTTTTTCCTACTTTTTAAAATCTTTTTTCCCCTTCTTCCTCTTCAATCTTCTCATCCTTCTGGTCCTATACCAAAAGGACTCATTAAAACCTTAGGCCAAAGGCACAGTAACTTAAAGAGCAAGATGAAGTGAAAGGAAAATTAGGGCAAGGAAACAGATATAAGAAAACACTCATAAAGAAGAATCAATAGAAAAATCCTGGCAACATGAAATACCATTCTAGAGCAACCCCTTCAAGAGACCGTGAGATGGCTACTGCAGAGGATTCTACCTATAAAGAAATGTTAGAAATGACAGAAGGGGAATTTAAAATACAGATGATGAAAACAATGAAGGAAATTGCTGAGAAAGTGGAAAACAACCAAAAAACAATGAAAGAATTGCTGAGAAAGTGAAAAATAACCAAAGGAAATCCAAAAACAGAACCAAATAAGAGATGAACAATATGAAGAATATAGAAAGGATACAGCAGAGCTGAAGTAGTCAAGTAGGTAACTTAAAGATGCAGTAGAAACTATCAACAACACATTAGATCATGCAGAAGAAAGGATCTCAGAGGTAGAAAATAAAGCTCTTGAGATAACTCGGATAGTAAAAGAGGCAGAAAAGAAGAGAGAGAAAGCAGAATGTTCACTAACAGAATTATGGGATCTTATAACACATTCAAACATACGAGTTATAGGTATCCCAGAGAGGGGAGAAGAATGCCCCAGAGGAATGGAAGCCATTCTAGAGAATATTATAAATGAAAATTTCCTAAATAATCACCAAAGATTCTGACACACTCATTTCAGAGGGATATTGGACCCCTGGTCGCCTCAACTTAAATACAGCTTCTCCACAAGACACATTGTGATGAAACTATCTAAAGTCAAGACAAAAATAAAAGATCTTGCAAGCTGCCAGGAGTAAGCACCAACTGACCTACAGGGGCAAATCCATCAGGGTGACCGACTTCTCTAATGAAACTTTTCAAGCCAGAAGACAATGGTAATCTACCTTTAATCTACTTTAACAGAACAATTTCCAGCCCAGAATTCTATATCCCACTAAGCTAAGCTTTAAAATTGACAGAGAAGGCTCGGCGCCTGTGGCTCAATCGGCTAAGGCGCCAGCCACATACACCTAAGGTGGCGGGTTCAAATCCCCAGCCC